GTTACTTTAAAATAGGGGAGCCATGTATTCCCTATTTGTCTATGTTTAACTTTCTGACTTTTTACATTCAATTTTTACAAGTTTGCCCTTATTATATAACTTGTATCTTTTTTTATATCGCATATTTATATGGCTGACCCCCTTATTCTAGCTTAACTGTCTTTACACATGTAATTTGTTTTTGTCGGATATTATTAAGCAATATCACTTATTTCTATTACTTTACAGATGTTAGGGAGTTGTAAACCTTACACTTTATGAAACAGCACTTGGTGTATCTAGAGTTTTTGTATATGGAAACCAATTGCTTTTGTGCATTTATCGTTCCTAGTAGGCAAACAGCAATATTTTGTTTTATGTTTAAAAATGATAAATGCTTCTTATCAAGACACACAGTATGTGTCGAGCGGACAAAACAACCTACAGGACACATGTGTACTATTAACAGGAGTGATAGTTTCTGTAGCTTGGACTGAAGTAATCCAAACTATCACATATTTTCAGTGGATATGCTCTAATGGAACCTTACTTCACACACCAAACTTCAAGTCAATCCATTAAGAGTTTCTTTTTTTTCTTTCCACAAAAAGTATGAAAACTTTATTTGACAGAAAAACATACTTAACTTTTATGGATTTTTTTTTCAAATTTGGTGCACAGACAGAACTTTGCAACTAAGAGTCAGGTGCCAAATTTGGCCTAAATATAGTCACATAAGCAAAGTTATTCAACAAAAACTGCTCAAGTTTGCGCACGCCTACGCAAAACGTCTCTTGAGCTATTGGTCTGAAAGTTTTACTACAGCTTCACCTAAGAGTAAAAGCGGACCGTTTTTAGTTTTTTGTCGTTCAGGTCAAAGACAGCTGATTTAGAGCAGCAAAACTCTAGGGTGAAAGAACGTACAGATACATAACGTATTGGTTAGGCCAAGAAAACTAGATTAGCAGTTTCTAGCTCAAATTTTCAAAATAATCATACGGATGACCGGTTATTATTCATTATTAACTGCCAACTTTTAAGCACAAATTTGTTGAATTTTATGAAATTCTCCAAATTAAAGAGCGTTTATCGTCACGTGATATTAGCTTAAGCAATTAGCGTAAATAATGATGCTTGATTCAGCTGTACCGATTGCATGGGGGTGATGACAATAAACTGTTAATCTTGATTCTATGGCGTTACTAAGAAGGAAGTTATTAACAATGTTTTAGAAAATAAAAACTACCACCATATAATTTAAAGAATCTGGTTGGTTTTGTAAATTAAAAGTCTCTTCTGAATAATAGGGTTGCGATCCTAAAGCTAATGTGGGTTACTATCCAGTGTAACTTTCTTACTTGCTGTGGTTTGTTGGTGTGTATTGAAAAAAAAGTCATAATATCAAACCAAAAACACCTTAGGTGTGAAAAAAAGGTGCGGTCAAAAAAGGATTAAGCGTGCGACTTAAAGGAATGCACTTATAGCATTGATAAGAACTTTACAGCAATATTCATTCATTAGTTAGCCAGGCTGCGTTTTTTTGTTCAACTTGGGGAATTATGGTTGGTAAAACAAAAACCTCGGCGTGGCTAACTAATGAATGAATATTGCTGTAAAGTTCTTATCAATGCTATAAGTGTAGCTACTAGTTTGGCCGCCAATTTTGATTTCATTCCTATAAGTTGCACGCTCAATCCTTTTTTGGCCGCACCTTTTGTTCACACCTAAGGTTTTTTTGTTTAGATACGAAACAGCTAAACAATTTGATTACACATGCTTTACTTTTATTTTGATTAAAACTTGTACACTCTGCGCTAATCCATTTTAAGCTGTTTACTTTGATACTGAAAAAGAGCAAAAAACGATGAACATTAATATTTGTATCACTCTTTGAATGCTTATCCATAACATACGTAATAGAGTAAATTATTTTACAATTAATTAAAAATAAGATTCGAACCACCGTTATAAGGGGAAATTATTAATATAAATGAAACATCATTATTTGATCACTATGCTTTTCCCTTATTTCATACATTTCATATGCCCAGATACACCTAAGTTATCATTTGTAACATGTTGGCTGTGGAAAGTAATTAAACATAAAAATTACCAACACAAATATTCATATATGTGCTACAGATGTCAAACCCTAGTTTATATTAATATGTACTAGTGTAAATTGTGTTGTACCGGTCTGCCTTTGTTTACTACACATTTAAAGATATAAAGCTCTGCCACTTTGCGTGTTTATTCCACTTAATATAAAACATGCATGAAGCTGCTGTTTTTAATGTAATTAAGAGTGTTTAAACCTTTTCAAAAACATAAGAATAGTGATATTTCAGCATTTGAAACACCTCAGATTTGGTCTGAAGTTTGTTTCTGTATATATGTAATCACATATGTAAACATATGTAATGTTGTAGTTTCTGTTTCTTAATCTTAAGACAATATTTCGTGATCTTTGCTGAGTTCATCATCAGGTCTGACGTAATGAAAGGTTCAAGTTAGAGCACGAAACATTATCTCAAGGCCAAAGACAGGACAAATTATAAAACCTACAGCTCTTGTCTAATATACTGCCTAAACTCTCATTGAGAAGGTAGTTCAATTGGTTTATGCTTTTTTTTAGCTATTAAACACACAATCCTATTTTATTAAAGTAGTTGAACAATAACTTTTCCGAAATGAGTTATACGTGAATTGTTATTTGTCATATTTTTATTTCAATGGAGTAAAACTGGCAACTGGATACTACAGCTAAATGTAAATTCTACCTAAGAAACTTACTTGGAAGCAACTATTTTGTGATAAAATCAAAAATAATTTGCCTGCTGTTATGCAACGTGTATTCATTCCGTTTTTTTAATGCAAGGTCAAATATGTAAAATCATAAAGCTTTGAATTTCCTGTCAGTGTACTTAGTGGCCGATGAGGATTTGTATGGAGAATGGTGGTTTCAAATCAGGTGTTACTTGTGCATTATTACTTTAAAAAAATGATCTGCAACTGTGCTTCTTTCATATGGTTGTTTATAAAGAGCGTCAATATGTTCGCCCACCCTTGTGTGTAGGGTTCTTTCGGTTTCTCCTACGTACGTATGAGGTCAGACGTTACATGTAAGCCAGTAAACAACATTGAAGAAAAGACACTCATTTTTAGATTGCAAATACGTTTCTCTACGACAGTGATTTTATAACATTGTAGGGTAGTGTACTGAGATTTTGAAAGTTGGCTTTTTAGTGGTGGATTTGACCATTCTATAACTGTAATCGGCAGTTCAGGTTTCCTTATTAAAGTTTTTATTTTCTTGGAGATAGCTTCGTCAATTAGAAGTGTTATAAAAATAATATTTTTGTCTTATCTTTGGAAACTTATGACATGGTGGATTACATCAATAACCTGATCGACAGCATGCCACGTCGTCTTGTGGAGGTTACTAGAGTACGAGACGGACCAACCAAGTACTGAATGTTTAATATGAACTGACATAAGGCTAAAGATGCTATTTATATAAGTTGATGTCATATTTTGTCATTATATATGTTTTCTGTTCTAATAAATCGTTCATGATGTCCTTAGAACCTGTCCCATTATACACATTACATATGTAGATGTTTAATATATAATGCATTTCTCAGTTTGACAGAGCTAAGTATCTTTGTATTTCATCTTAATAATAATGATCCTATTTGTTACAAAATATGCAAACAATTTTTGTCAAGACTGTATAAATATATATACAATAAATTATTTGTGATAATACACAGCAGAAGTGACTTTTTTAGGAAGACCTAGGTTAACAGTTACAGTTCTGGATGAGTTAACAAGCCTATGATGTTATTCTAATTCATGGCTTACTTTTTTAACTTTATCCCGATAAAGATATCTTTCCCTCTCTAATGGTCTCGCAGTGGCTCAGCCGTAAGCCTCAAGGCTTATAACGCTAAAAGATGGGTTTCAATACCAGTGATGGATACAACACAGATTTTCCATTTTGCGCTTAACAACAAAACAACAAATTAAACAAAATCATCTCCAATGGTTCTTTTTTTAACTAGCGTTTACTTGTATTTTTTACTTTACTCGATGTACGTTAAGAAATATGTAGATTTTTAGTTTATGGCTCTCAAATAATAAATAACGTGTCTATTACATGCTATTATTGAGTTATTACATGAACATAGTATCTCGTAATGCACGAGTATACTGTGGCAAGCGATATTTGGAATATTATTAGTAGAGTCACTAACAGCAGAAAAATGAAAACCAATTTATATGGAATTACATTGGAGATTTCTCTGAAAATTATTGTTTCACATTGACTATGTACCCAAAGCTCTTACATAATTGAAAACAAGATACGTCAAGATGTATCACTCATTTATTAATTTTGTCCTTTATGGTATCTCTTGGTGGCTCAGCGGTAAGTCTGAGGGCTTATAATGGTTAAACCTGGGTTTCAATACCTGCTGTGGGCAGAACACAGAGAGCCCATTGTGTAATGTAACTTTTGTCTTCACGACATACAAACAAAAAAGCCTTTATGTTATCAAGATATTATACTTCTTACTAGGCTATGTTATCAAAACAAAAATTTAACTTTATTTTGTAAATACTGTTATTACTAAAGTTTATGTATCCAAATATAAGTCAAAGTTATGGTAAGTGTCAAATTAAAATGCTAGCTGTACTCTTTTTATCCTGTACATTTTCAATCTACTTGCAGTAAAGCTTCATATAAAGGGTGTCTTTATGCTCTAGTAATTCTAAAAAAATAGGGTACACAATGTGTTTCTTCATTGTGAAAGTGATAAAAGGAGAAAAAAGGGTGAATTAATTACAGCAGCGTTTGCAATTATTTTTACTAATTGTAAAGAAAATTGTAAAATACTTAGATATTTTACTTCTATAAAAAATGTTGGGACTGTCAGTATTGAAAAATGATGATAGTAAAATATTCTACTTCATTTTTGAAATAATCTATGTTTTTTGCTATATTAGGTAATCTAGAGCCAATGGATCAAACGAGACTGAAACTAAGCTTCAACGTTTCCACCAATTTCACAGATACTGATTACTTTAACGAACTATTCTGGAAACTAAATAATACAGAAAACATCAGCGCTGCTTCTTGGGAAGATACACTTGAGGAATTAAATAAAAAGCTGTACAGAATAGATGACGTCTCAGTGTTAGTACTGGTTAGTCTTTACGGAGTGGTCTTTCTCACAGGGTTAGCAGGGAATTCCATCATTGCTTATTTTGTGTCGAAAACAAAACACCCTCACGGTCGAAGGAGATACAACATGCTGATAAACCTATGTGTATCAGACTTAATGGTCATTTTGATATGCTGCCCTATGACTATGTATACCAGCATCACCACTGTTTGGCATCTGGGAGAATCTTTATGTAAGATTCTTTCTTATCTTCAAGGTATGGTCTGGGACTTATTGAGCATGCTTCTGTTTATGATGTATTAAGCTACAGTTTTGAACTAAATAATGGTAGAACAACCATTCTAATGAGATTTGATATACATCCTGCGGCAGTTACAGAAAATATAAGTTATTTAAAATATATATCCACATCACAACTTATTCTACTTTAGATATACAGAGAAGAGAAGAACATAACAAGGAAAGAATTATATAACTATCATTTTCCTGCGTAATAATTACTATCCACCTTTTATCAAGGAAACTTTAGGTAGAGTATTCAATGCGTATTCTATCTTTGTTTATTAAACATAACCACTAAATACTCACTTTGTACCTGACGAATGTTTCAGAACAGCATCCGAAATGTTATCTCAACAACAAATTAACACAGAAGTCCAGAAAACACTGTACATATATCTCAAACTTTATTTGTCAAAGTTAGGGTATAAGTGAAACTATTTATGGAATTTTAATATGGGTATTGAAGAAAAATGTCTGAATAAACACACATTCACTAAAATAGTTTCTTAATGCGCTGTTGTGGTGCTGTTCAACCCTGAACATTATTGCTTCTTCAGTTATTGTTTGTTCTACCAGAATTCTTAAATGAAAACATTCTGATTCCTTTGAAAAATACCGCTAAAACGTTTTAAAACGACTTTCATTGGAATTGTACACGGTAACGGCACCGTTTGATGATTTATAAAAATCAATAAATTTTATCTTAGATAAATTAAATCAATCATAGATAATTTATAGACCCTAAAATATTTTTAAACATATGAAGACTACCAGGATCATGATTTATTAATTGAGTTACATTTTTCCTAAAGGCTTGTTAAGCTGTGGACCGTCGAAAATGGAAGGCCATGCATTTATTGGAAGTTATAACTGTAAATAAAAGCTTATGTGATAAAGAAACCGAGAACCAGTAGTTAATATTAAGTTTATAATTAGAGTATTACAATTTAAAACATCAGTTAACAGAGCACCTTCGGAGGGTACAGACTTACCGAAAAAAATTTGATTTTCGGGCTTTTTGAAAAGGGATTTCCATAATTCCTTTATAATGTTCTACACGTTATTTAAGTATCACGAATGTGAACTGTTAAATATACCGAATTCGAAAGCTAAACAAATAAGTATAGATTGTCCATAATACAGATAAAGTTCCAGAATTAATGGCTGAATAAATATAATAGTGGAAAGGTTAAACATTTTGAATTATAATAACAAAACCCAGAGATGTTAATGATGTTGACGTGATGCAATAATTAGTATTTTTTATTTCAATCGTAGGGGTTTCCGTGACTGCAGGTACTTTGTCGATGACAGCGCTAAGTTTGGATAGATACATTTCAGTTCGACATCCACAAGCATTTCTGAAGATAAGCAGACATCGTTTTGCTAGGATATTGATTGCAATGGTATGGACTATAGCTTTACTTTTTTCTCTGCCGATCATATTTGTGAAGAAAACAGAAACTTTGGAAATACCTTCATTACAAGTTTCTTTTTGCATTGAAGAGTGGAAACCTGGTTTGAAACACGTCTTCACCATTGCAACCTTAATTATTGTTTACGCTTTGCCTTGCGTAATATTGTTGATCTGTCAGGCTTCGGTTAGTAGGACTATTAAATATGCCGAAGATTCTTTCCTTAACCGAAATGACATCCGTCAAAGAACTTTCCGAATGAGTTCCCATCATCCAAACGCACCACCTCCGACAAGAGAAAATAGAGAATCTTATGTCGGACGATACATTGGAGAACTCTATACTTGGGAGGTTGAAAGTAAGCCTCAGAATATACGTATAATAGAGAGGATGTCAACAAATGGAAGTTCCTCACTGCAATCAAGAGATCGTAAAGACGTGATTCGATCTCATAGCCCTAGAATTAAAAGAAGGTTATCTTATTTGTTGATGGGGATGACCTTGTGTTTCGTTATCTGCTGGCTACCTTATAATATCATATCATCTTACGTAGATCTGTTTGAAATCATGACTGTTACTAAATATCTCCCGTTTACATTGCTGTTAGGTCATGCCCACAGTGCTATCAATCCTGTCATTTACTGGTTGCTCAACAAGACACTTCGTAGGAAGATGCAGAATATAAAGCATCGTTCGACAACACGACCAAGCTCTCGGCTTCAACAAATACCTATGGAATGTATTACTAGAAATCCACAAATTCAATTTTCCCATTGAACCATTTATAGTTAGTGGCTACAAAGTTGAATACAGAAAAACCGAGTTAATATTCTTCGAAATTTTGTTTAACATCTCACCATTTCAACTTTCCTGTTACGAAACATATGTAAATAAATCAGATACACACACATACACACACACACATATATATCTTGTCTTCATCTTCAAACATTTAAGTGATTGGACAATTATTATTACTTTATGATTTTTGTATCAACTACATTCTGATATGTTCAGGGCTGCTCTGAAAAGTTCAAACCTTAAAATAATTTAAGTGTCAAGGATTAAAAGTTTTCTTTGCTTAAGTCTATTATCACTTCTCCTAGAAGGTAAAGTATTTTTATAAATGTAATACATTGATGTTTCCCCTTCACTTCGAAAATTACATTTACTGTATGTATCTCGAAAGAGTTATCAGAGTATCAACTTCGTACTAGCATAGGTTTGAGTATCAATTTTAGAGATAATGTGAATTATAAGAAAATGTCATGAAACAGTATGTGAATACTAAACGTATCTGTAAATGGTAATTATTGTATTGTAGTTATATATAGATACTAGAAAGTCAAAATACAAAAACTTATTTGCTTATAATTTAAAAACTTTCATCCCTGCTTTGGCAAATCACTGCAATTTTATTAGTCTGAGCTAAATGTAGGGATCATTTTTTTAATTGTAAGTAACTCAATTTTTATAGTATGACTTTCTTGTTTCAATACTTTATGTAGCATTAAAACGTTCTATATTACCATAGATAGTGAGATTACGTATACATGAATCCCTGCTTTCTTTAGATTTTTTTTTATTTTACTTGTTTGTTTCATTTTTATTAGCTATATCTTGGCCTGGCATGGCCAGGTGGTTAGGGCACTCGACTCTTAATCTGAGGGTCGCGGGTTCGAATCCCCATCTCACCAAACATGCTCGCCGTGGGGGCGTTATAATGTGACGGTCAATCCCACTATTCGTTGGTAAAAGAGTAGCCCAAGAGATGGCGGTGGGTGGTGATGAATAGCTGCCTTCTCTCTCTAGTCTCACACTGCTAAATTAGGGACGGCTAGCGCAGATAGCCCTCGTGTAGCTTTGCGCGAAATTCAAAAGAAACAAGCTTTTCGCTAAAAAAAAATACAGAAGCAACAGTATAAGGAAATCAACAGTTTCTGTTTCATAAAATATATTTGTATAAGTCATCTGTTGTTGTTTTTTCTTCTTGTAGAAATCACATACAGTCTAACAGGTATATATTTCGTTCTTGAATGATTATATATTATTCCAAACACACGGGAGTATAGGTTATCTCGTATTTCTGTGTATTAATTCCAACTATTCTGGTTTCATTTACACCGATAATTAATTTTAAAGGGAAATACGAAGACAACTGAGACGTATCGTTATGGGGAAAACGAAGTCTAACGATAAATATGATCGTTTGTTTAAATTCAGCGCAAAGCTACAGGAGGGCTATCTGCGCTAGCCGTCCTTAATACAGCAGTGGGAGACTAGAGGGAAGGCAGCTAGTCATCACCACCCACCGCCAACTCTTGGGCTACTCTTTTTACCAACGAATAGTGTGATTTACCGTAACATTATAACGTCCCCCACGGCTGAAAGGGCAAGAATGTTTGGTGGGACAGGGATTCGAACTCGCGACTCTCAGATTACGAGTCGAGCGCCCTAACCACATGGCCAGACCAACGGATATAAAGACGGTTGACAAAACACAAAATACTCAGCGACCTAACCACATGGCCAGGCCAACAGATATAAAGACGGTTGACAAAACACAACATACTCAGCGCCCTAACCACATGGCCAGGCCACCAGATTTAAAGACGGTTGACAAAACACAAAATACTCAGCTGCTACAATTGTCTCGTGTAACTTGTATTTCATGACACATTCGTATATATTCTATAGTCTGTTGTTTTTACTTCCGCGTACCACGGTTGACAAAAACACAAAATACTCAGCTGCTATAATTGTCTCGTGTAACTTGTGTTTCATGACACATTCGTAATATATTCTATAGTCTGTTTTTTTTTACTTCCGCGTACCACGGTTCACAAAAACACATAATACTCAGCTGCTACAATTGTCTCGTGTAACTTGTATTTCATGCCACATTCGTAATATATTCTAGTCTGTTTTTTTTTTTACTTCCGCGTATAGCAGCTGAGTATTTTGTGTTTTTGTCAACCGTGGTGTCATGAAATACAAGTTACACGAGACAATTGGTTACACGAGACAATTATAGCAGCTGTGTATTTTGTGTTTTTGTCAACCGTGGTACGCGGAAGTAAAAAAACAGATTATAGAATATATTACGAATGTTGTGTTTCATGACACATTCGTAATATATTCTAGTCTGTTTTTTTTTTCACTTCCGCGTACCACTTTACTTAGTAAATTAGTGATTAATGATTCTATAGTTGTAGTTAATAATCATTTTTGTAACATTATTTTCAGATTTCTCCGAAGATGGAATAAACGCATTCCGAAACGTTCGAACCTTGCACATAAAAGGTTTTTTCCCACTGTATCATAAGCGTAGTTGCATTCTATTATTCGTAACAAAACAACTTTAAACTCCGTAAAAATGAAAGTGTACAAATAACGGTGTAATAGATGAGTCATCAAATGTAATAGACGTGCCATCAAATTCGCGCTTTTACGTTTTGGTGTATTTTCGTGCTTTATGTATATAGTGGGGGGTTGTATAAGTTTTATGCGGAAGACCTATTTTGAACATCGAATAAAAGATATTGTTGAGTTAGGGAGGATGCTGTAAAGAAAGGTGTCCCGGGTGTACACATGGCCTTTCATTTACATGATTAACCCGCCGATTTTATCGACCAAAGAGCATTAGCAGACGCTTTGGTCGCTCGGGGACTCGTTTGAAATCGATATTACTTCATTTTGACAACCAAGACTCATTTAGTTTCCCTGGGAGAGTCAGTCTTTAGAGAGTTCCAAAAAAAAAAGCAATATACGCACTCCCCCACACGAAGACTTATTCTGGGATTTCATTTACTGCGTTCTAGCAGATGAGAAAGTAAAGGAGCAGTTGAGAAGTGGCTGAAGACGTAAGCAACAGGTTCTATGTTTATGATGCTTATATCTCTTCTAGCATCTGCTACACGTATTCTACTCTGCGTTAAGCAACAGGTTCTATGTTTATGATGCTTATATCTCTTCTAGCATCTGCTACACGTATTCTACTCTGCGTTAAGCAACAGGTTCTATGT